TTTACTGAAGTACATTGTCCTTTCACTGACCCATACAGATCGTCCTGGTAGTATCTTAGATAGCACCTGAAATTTAGTCATAATTTCGGATCTTTCATCTTTTCGACAGTGTATTTTGTCAACCCCGTGAAAGAGCTATTGGTTTCAGTCAAAGTGACAGCCAACAATAGATTGGAAATCAAAGTAGCCACACAATTACTCACTTTTAGCTTTTGCTCTTCCAAAAACCGTAAAAAATATGTGGCTTGGAAATCTGCTTCCGCAAGACTAGCAAAATTTCCGTTACTCTTGGGTGGAAATTACGGAAAATATGTTTAAAAACCTGTGTTCTCGCCATGCGAATAGCGAGTGCGATGTGTTCAGCGTTTTATATTCCAGTGGTAGGCTAGCTAAAGCGGCTAAAGTTGTCGTTGAATAAGATAAGGTGTTTGAATTCGAGTAAAACCCCAGCTCAATGAATTACTCGGAAACAGTTCAAACAGGTCGGTTACTATCGTGATGAATTTTAAGCCTCAGATTTCTACTATGCTGCATTCGTACCGTACTTGTGGGGGTCACCCAAATTGAATACTGTATGATAATTCGACTACTTGATTTCCTGTTCAATTTAAAACGCATGCGATAACTTGTTCCCTGAAATTGGACCAATCGGGTGTTTTTGCACGCCGCGGTGCTCCCTAGTTCTTGAGCTAGGGGCCGGGTTTTCAGTCGTATTGTTCTCTTGTATTAGTTTGTCTTCTTAACAGTGCTAAGCACTATGTGATCTTTATTAGCAATAAACGTGTTGCATCACACCGCATCAAGCTTTCGGTGATCCTCTGCATGGCAACGGATACAATCACCATCATCAGTTTTAAAAACTGCGTACGTGTCGTGCGGTGCTTACAGCTGCCACATTGTCGTTTACCGAAGATTTGGGCAGATGTGCAGATAGCTGCGGTAGCTGGTATAATTGATGCGCAAATACAGAGTGTTCTTTTCAGTGCGGAAATTGGGGAGGGAGATATGTATTGGAGGCAATAGTTTAGATACGCGCGCACCATTGATGGCGCAACTGGGTCATATCCGTCAATGTCTCTCATCATTTGTGTGACCCTTCACGCGATAACGACCAGTTTGCTGGTAACTGCTTTCAAACTTCGCCGCCCAGTCATTTTCGACCTCTTCTGGCTTATTTCCACCCTGCGCGTGGTTGTGCGAAAAAAGCCCCTCCAAGAAGTCGGTCAACTGGCAACCCGCAAAATTGTAAAATTCACGTTTACTGGGTAATCTAATGCCACTTCTACAACACAGACGATGCAAGGCCGCAAAGGCTGCTTTGGCTTTTACAATCCGGATGAAAGCATAATCTTTTGCGAGACCATCAGGGCTGATACAGCTGCCAAGGTACACAAGTTTGTCTACTATCTCAAACGGTTCATCCGCAAACATGAGGCCAGAGTTCGAGCCCACGCAGTCTTGCAGCAACTCTGTACACTTTGCATGTGTGGATTGCACGCAATGCTGCGTACCATAATTATTTAGGTTGTTTGATGTTATTCGCAATTCGACGACATTAGATCAAAGAAGAGCTTTTTTACTCGATATCTGTGAGTGGGTAACCCGGGAGCACTTCGACTTCACGGGAAGCAGAAGCTGGTGCTGAGTTTTCCATTTAGCCTATCAAGGTAAGTTGGCTGGTTAATGTGTTGCGGATGCCGAGTTACCGCCTGTCTTGGCGATTTGAAGGAAGTAAAGGATGTTGCGAACTTGCTGCTGTTTGACTTCCAGGTTGGGTTCCACATGGCACTCCCTGTGCTTGGGTGGAGACGCTGAACGATATAGCGGCTAACCGATGTCAGTGGCATTCATGATATCCCTTTCCGTCCAGAATGTCTAACTGGGTGCTGGAGGTGTAAGCACCCAGGACATTTGGAATAGGTTAGAACTAGATATTCCTGCCTTCCACTCTCTCTATTCTCCCCATTTTAATGCTTTATTGAAGTAAATTGATATGACTGTACGGCAGTGAATCAACAGTGTTCTCAGCAGATGTTGCTCTCGGTGATGATGATAATGACTTCCCTACTGTGTATGTATTTATCTTTATACAATAAGCGTGAGCCGTCAGTGATTTTCATGGAGAAGTGGTCTTCAAGCCAAACACACTCATTTGCAAACTAATTTGGTTTTTCGAGAGACTCACCTGTAACCCAGCTGAATCTCTCGTTTGTGATACGTCTAGGCAACTAAATGTGGTGTATAAGGCCGCCTCATGTTTCAGTCGCTACGATATTCGAGATATCGCGATACACACATGTTCGTAATGCACTACTAGTAAGGTTGCTGAAAGTTCGTCGACAGCCTACAGCCGGTTTTGCCCTTCTTGTGGCTCATGAGGTAGGCGCAGTCACTGAGTTTGCGTCAACCTTATTATCTACTTGAAACCGAATTGCACAAAATTAGCGAAACACTCATTCAGTTGCCTGGAAGCACCGCAAACGAAAAATTTTGCTGGGTTCCAAGTGAGTCTCTCGGAAAAAACAAATTAGTTTGCAAATGAGTGTATTTCGCTAATTTTGTGCAATTAGGTTTCTAGTAGCACATAAGGTTGACGGAAACTCGGCAACTGCGCCTACCTGATGAGCCCTAAGAACGGCTAAATCGGTCATGGGCTTTAGGCGGTTTATTCTTGGAAGTCAGTTTCTGATAAAGTGACCACTTTGTCCTAATTTTTCCTCCTAAGCCACGTCTTTGGGTTCCATAAAACATTCAAGATATTGGCAGCTCTAAGACTCAGTGGTAGCGAACCTGATATTAAAAAAATGAAAATATGACGTCAGAAAACCTCTTCATTTGATCTTAGCTAGCAAAAAGTTGCCAAAATTTACGGATGTGTATCGTCATTCGAGTCTAAATTCCACAGCATTCTGCGGGTAAGCTCAGGTTCTAGCAGCGCTGCTATTGATAAAAGTGTCGGCAACTCGATATTTTACTAGAGATAGGAAAAATTGCCTCAGATTCATTCAAATTCAAGTTCTTTCCTTACTGAGACTAAACATAGCTATTTAATACAAGAAGAGGGTGCAAAATAAAGCATTCTGTCATAATTCGAAAAAAAATCGATAGCATTCATTTGTGCTAATTATGATTAGAAAGATTCACTTTAGTTCTTGGCCAAAATCGATTGGCTATCAGTTAAATGTCTAGTATGGATTAGCACAACGTACAATAGTTTACAAAAACGCGTCATAATCCTATGGAATTTGGTGTGTTATGCAAGTATAAATCAGATTATTACCCCCAGTGAAAAGTAACAAAGTTTAACGCTCAGGACAACAACAGAAAATGGCGCGCCTCAAATGACATTGTGCTGTTTCGTCTAATTTATGCCTTGACTATCACTTAGGCTTTGACGACTTCAAAAAATGCACAAGAATAATTGCTCAAGTGTCGACGTTCTTTTAACGGACAAAGTGTTCCTTGGGAGGCTAAACACCAATAAAACATTCAGCTGGTCTACAAAATATGGCAAAGTGTGTCGAAGCTTACACAAGCCGGTAGACTAAAAGTTGTTTTTGCAGAATAAAGTCTTCCTAAGTGATATATTTAGGTGTCTATCCAAGAGCAAAGTTGAAAAATAAGTAGCGGTTTAATCAGCTTTGTGCTTGAAGCCTCAAAGTCACTTCGGTGTGAAGATCATGGTCAAATAAGCTGTGGGTATCAGCCAAGAGTTTTGGCTTTAGGCACAGCATATACAATGTTATTAAAATAAGCTCGGGAACCCTTTTGTGAAGGCCACCACCGGCATACATATATCTTTTCACGGGTTTAGGAGTTATATCGTAACAACAGCAAGGAACTGGTTTGAGGGTAAAAAATTCTCCGCATTACTGATTTAATGCAGTATATTCGAGTGGAAAAAAGTTGCTTTTCATACAGCAGATGCGGGCTTGAAAGCAGATTAGATTAGCGGCGAGCCTCATTATGTTCTTCTAAATGAGTAGGCAGCATAAAACCGATACCACAAGCCAATCGTCTAAAGAAGTGCCGATATAGCAGTGCCTGGGACATGTGGGATTCACAAAATTCGAAGTCGGATCAGATTTGATCGCTATTCTATGAGGTACTGCAATTCCAAGCCACAGAAAACGGTACTATACTGCCCTAAATTTCAAAAAGGTTTTCAAAGTCAAAGGAACCGAATTCTCACGAAATGGCATGCAGTTTTGATCGGTCATCAAAGTGTTTCCTCTCAACTAGTATCCCAGTGATCAGGATTCCTTTGGTGTAGACGTATTTGCCCAACATATGGGATCTACCTGATACCTTAGGGGACGAGGACAGTCACTCCGTCATTCTGAAAAGCGGTCGTGAATAACAATCAATAGAAGCCTTCCGCAGGATGACTGGTGAATCAACGAACATCTGATAACGTTCTCTAATGGTGAAACAGCAGTTGACTCGTACAAACTTTTAAGTGCTTACGACCAGGCAAATAAGGCCATAGTTCTCTAAATGTGTACATATTATACACAGCGGTTCGCACATTACTATCGAAAGAGGTCCTACGCATTCGCGATATAATGGTATTTTCGAACACTGTGTTAACGGACTTCTATCAAACTAGAAGCAACCTTAATGCACGAGCACTCAACTTGGCGACGAAAAACATTTACTCTGATACTTGGAAAGCAACAAACTACCAAATAGTATTATTGTTTTCCCCTACCAATAGCGAACCGCTGTGATCAGTAGTCATTCTTGTCCTGGATAACTTTTCAATTGTAAAAACCCTTCTTAAAAAGTAAAATTTCATAAAAAAAACCCAAGCCTGTTATACGGTCCCCCGCGTACATAGACAAAGAGAGGTGATAAAGACACGAAAGATGTTGCGTTTATTTGACAGAGTTTTAATGGAAGTGTGATGTCTATGATCGCTAATAACAAAGGAAGTGAAGAGTTTTTTTATGGGTCAGTTAAATATACTCAGTGCGATGAGGAAGAACTAACTGGCAGTATTATGGACCAGAAGCGCTGCAACAAAGAATGACAGTTGCACAAAACACCCATATTCCATGGGCTCGTGTGTTGTGAGCCAGTCCGTTCACATCCTTCCGTTTGCTCATCCGCATCTGTTTAGTCTCCCTTTGGAGATAGCGCCCACCCTCTCGACTACCCAGTGCGCCGGTCCATTTTTCCGACTTGGTGTCATCCGCGATTAGATTTCGCCAACTGACAGAGGCTACACCGCTGTAATTCTCTAGTGAACGACTCGCGATTTGAACAGTGAATGTGTCATTTAGGAGTGCATCTTCAAACAGCCTCCAGATTCTTTCCTCAGAGATTCCATCAAGCTGGGACCATTCAATGATAACGCCATCCCATGGCGAAATGTTTTCGAGCGGATTTACATTACATTGAGGTAAGTTCAACTGCGCTTTTGCGGCTGGCCTTTTCAGATCAGGTAGTTTCAGTATACAATGTCCAAGCGCGTCCTCAAGTGTAACTAGACGGTCCGTGAAACGTACTTTCTCGGGAAGCAAAAATTCTTTTATTAGTTTCAAAGAGTCATCTTCTGGTTTACTGGCCTGACGAAGTGCACTACCCAGTTTGTGTCCCAAATTGGCTGATGAGCGGCGAGAATGGACACTGTTTGCCTGGCGAAACACACGAGCTGGTACACCCAGCGGTTGATGAATCTGTTGGCGTATCACCTCAGGCCCGATATGACTAATGTTCCCATTGCGTGCAAACCGCCTGTTCCTGTGGCAAATCGGACGTCTCCGCTGTGTGATTTGCTCAGTCTTCCAATCGGTGATTCCGTGAGAGTTGTTATCTTCAGTTTTGTTCCAAAGGGTAGCAAATATGAATAAGAGGATGAAATATCGAAATAGTAGTTTGCCAGTTTATCGATGTTCTGACAGAAACAACTGGTAAAATTTAGTTTACAAATATAGTCTTGAAAAAAAACAGCGGACGCTTTTGTTGCACTTGAAGTTCTCAGCTGAAAATGAGGTAGAGATTCCAGACTTTTGCCTAGTGCAGCTCATTCAAATAAAGCTGATTGTGAGTACTAAAAAAACCAAAAGGTCGCGATCAATAGACTGTGAGCTGCATTATTCTCAGAATTAAAACTGCTGCCCCCTTCATGAGTTTGATTGAAAATTTTCAGTGGAATAAAGCCCCATTAATGTACGGCAGTGAAGCATCGCTGTCAACATTGAGGTCATTATCACTGATGATGATGATGATGATGATGATGATAACGGTCATGATGATACTTCATTAGCCTTGGACATAGAAACCTCTGAACGCGATGCACACTATTCATTCGTTTGCTTTAGATTTTAACCTGAATTTGTCCATAAACACAGAAATTTATAAGCGGCGCATGAAATTTTGGCGCATTTTTATTGTTGCCAAGAATGTAGTAGTTGGTGATTTGCAAATAACGATTTTTGTGTTTCTTTCTTTACCTCTTCGAAGATCAGAATTGACCTCCATTGCACTAGCATGTACCATTCATTAACCATATTGGCCTCTGTAACTACAAAAGTGGTTAATCGGCTCCCCCTTTAGTAAACCCGGCCATAGGCAAAGCTAATTAGCGGGTTGACACCGTGAGTAATCATCGAAACTCCTCTCCATCCACATGTAAATAACTCGAGATGATTTGCTTTTTTGGTTTTGTCCATCAAGGGAAAGCCACAAAAATGTTTTTCCGTTTTTTTGTGGTTCCGAATATACCGATCTTTCACGGTATTAAAGAAGCAGAGCAGTACAACTTTAGACTGACTTGTTTCAAATACTAGAGCTGAAACTGAATACTAGTTGTGTATCACCACGTCACGTGCACTGCATAAACAGAAAAGTTTAGAATCTGTTGTACCATCGTCAAGAGCAACCTTCCATCCTGACAAGGTCACTCATAATGATAGAAAATTTGAGCAACACAATTCTGCTCAGAATTTTCGTTTGTTCCTTTATTATCTACTTCATTAATTATTGAAAGTGTTTCCAGCCTACTGACTGGTACTTGGCTGTTTTTTCATAACAACGCGGAAAATCTACACTCAAATTAAGCGACTTATCAAACAACGTTTTAATCTAGGATCCCAATCGGTGTTCACGTTTTGTGGATGTTACGCACACAACAGACTATGGAAAAAAAATTCAAGCAATCTGTGTCTATCGTCCGGAAGTTAGGAGTCACTTACAGGGCTGAAGTAATATTGCAATGGTATTTCACGCTTTAGACAGAAACAATTTGTTAGGTGGCGTGGAGTGTTCACAAAGGAGATTGACGAAACCCGGCAAAATACTCCTAGGTCTGCGCACTGACCTGGATCGATATTCCTTATACCATTCCCTGCACAATTTACATCATCTTCAGTTTAACAACTCATCACAAGATGATACAGCAACATGTTGTGGAGCAAAATGAAACCTTCAGCATTTTCACTGGTAAAAGCTCTCATTTTCCGCGGCACTTTACCACAAAGCTGGCCTTGAATCTTATGGACCCGCATGACTAAATAAGCTCATAAACTGCATGAGTATTCAGACATACAGATCAGGTTCCGTTGCAGGGATTATATGCAACTTATAGCAGGCCATTATTGTTAAAAAATAAAAGGCAAACGTCGAAGGTGAAAATGCAATAGAGTGGTTGTTCTGGATGCAAATGTAGTCCAAGAAACGAGGTGACGTTTGAAGTGGCAAATGTTCAAAACACTCAGATCCCAATAATTAAACTCAGCAACCAGTTCAGATGAGGATGATTCGGGTTCACTTTGGGAGTTTCACAGAGTTGGTGACAACACCCGATACCATTGATGGAAAAGTCTGAATTTACGATATGTCAGTTTTCTGTCTTTTGGTGGAATGCTTTTCAAACACCAAAGTGCAGTTGTGCAGCAGAATGTGGAGGCGTACATCATTTTGTGTTTCGGAGATCGATTAGACAAAATTTCACCTGCTTTGGCATGTGGCAAGCATTGTACTCCCCAATTAAACATTTTCCGGCGAGATGAAACGGCACAAGGCTTCAAGAGAAAATTTGTTGTAGATATACAGAAACCAATGTAGACAATGCAGACCAGCTTTATTTTTTACATTACTGATTTTGAGTCTCCTGATTAGTTCATAGGCAGCTCAGATATTATTTTAAGAGAGCATAATCCAATCATCCTGAATAGGCGGCTCATTTTAATGGAAGCAAACTGGGTCGAATCCGACGCAGAAAGCTTTTTTGGTCGATCCAGATTCTGGTCTCCCTTCTAAGGGTGGCCTCTCACCTCGACAACACTATATATATATATATATATATATATATATATATTCATAGATGTAAGTTTCGGGTCTAATCGTTCTTGTAGCCTATCTGATGAGACGTAACCTGGTTTGGCATTGGCACAGTTCTGGCAGGTATTTTCACTTATGGAACTAAATCTTAGTTGATTACTTTCAACAGTCAAATAAGTAGAACCACTTAGTTTAGGTGCGTTAGTCAGTGGTGAATATGCACAAGTGGGTGAATAAAAATGTAAGCGCATGGGTTCCCTGAATTTAGTCCAATACACGTACATAGGAGGCTGGACTCAGTAGACACGCATTGTATCTCTGCGTTTTTTGCCTTTAAGTATTTCCTAGTTGTCTTTGGATATTCCGCTAGCGGCCCCCACCCATACTGACTAGGAAAACACTCAAATTGGGGTTGGATATGGATGTCTGCAATACTGATGTACTGCTTTGATTAGCGATAATTCAACGTTGAGCGTTGCCCACAGTCTGGTTGGTTAATTAACCGGACAAAAGTAAATAGAAGCTTGTAATCCAGAGGCATTCCTTCCTATTCTACGGAATCTCAGCAGTTTCACTGGTTTTCTACACCATTCACAGCATGTGCAGAAACAATTAGTGTTTTTATGTGGTGCACGCTCCGCCCCAGCAACCTTACGAATATAGTGTATGCAAGTCTATGCAATAGCAAGTCAGTCACATAAACGTTCTCAGTCTTTTAGTAGACTGACTTCAAACTCAGCGTGAAATTATTATTTCGAAAATATGTTCTTCTACAGGACTAGATGCTAACAATGCTACCGGAGGCAATTCAGCAAAGACCATAAGGGATTTGACCAGTAGGAAACAACATTGACAGAAAAAAGAGCACATTTGTGTGTGGGTCCTAGTAAAGTTTCAACACTCACAACTCATTGGAAGAAAGGCTATGTCTGTTTCTTAACTAGAAAGATCAAGTTATGCAAAGCTAACGGCAGGCTGCCGGAAATATACACATGTACCTGCCATGCAAAGATAGAGATTATTTTGTTTCATGAGCCATCGGTTAGCTCGCTGACGACGATGCCGAAGAAGTAGACAAATTCGCCATCCTAAGCATGGACACCTTGAATCTCGCATGAACCGCAGCTTTGCCACACCCTCCGACAAACTTGCAGCCATAACCTGTTGAGCTGATCCAAAAATTAAAAGTGTGGTCTTACTTTTGAAGTGGAATAAATTATGAGCTTTAAAACGATTTTTGACAGTTTCAGTTTGGTTGTCCAACACAAATGCGAGCAAAATAATATTCTGATGATTGCTTGGGTACAATTGAAGCAGTTCGTTTGTTTCGTCTTACCCATTTCAGACATTCAAAAAAACTAAACCAAATTCTTTTGAGGTTAGAAAAGAAAGACCAAGGTTTGAGCTGCGCTATAGACTAATTATTAGTCATAATTAGTAATAATTCGATTTCACCCGTAATTATTGAACCACTAATGAGAATTACTTTTCTGAATCAGAATGTTCCAAGTGAAACTGGCATTAATATATTGCATTTGTTCCACATTTTTGAATGTTAGATGAGCTATTTTCAAGCTATAAATCCGTAATAAATTCAGCCTGTTTTTAGCGGCTATTGATCAGAGTGATAGCAGCCAGCTGAATACTTTTATGTCTCAGAAGCACGCGAATCTCGCTGGAAAAGCTTTAGGGACTGCTAACAGATTTATCACAGACCATCGATTGTCAAAGCGAATCAGACCATCTGGATTGGTTTTTCTCAAAGATGTGATTGTTTGTATTTCAAGCTTTGTGTCAGGCAATAAACAAATCATTTAAATACTTCAATGGATACAGTCCTCTGTCGTTAAACTACTTTTCAAATGGTATAAGAATCCCCATCTTTTGTTCAGCACGCAGTTAAAAGGCACTAAATTTGTTACAGTATGTAATAAAATCAACTTATCACTTATGCTACAGGGAGCTGACTAGAGAACTGGTGATAATTTTGTGCTCAGAATGTCTTTTTCAAATTCGGTCAGAATCGAGATTTAGAATCTCTTACTTATCCCAAATGATGTTTGAGTTCAGTCCAACTGAACCAGATGTGAGGTGCTTCTTAGTTTTTGAGCTAATGTAACTGTCCACCAAATCCTCTGTATAACATTGCGCACACCAAGGTTCACCATCCTATTGAGAATCGACGCAAAATTTAAGTTTGGTCAATATGCAAGTTGTAACTGTACAATGATAGAATTCTTTAGGCGGATATGTTTCAGTCAATCCCCAACAAACACTTTGCTTGGTGGTATGAAGTGAAATGCTGCCAGAACCCTACCAAGTGACTTGAACTGCGTAATTAAATAGAACTTTCATCTTCGTTCTGCTGTTGCACCCTTACGTTGCCTACCTGCCATGCCACTCGAAGGAAGCTCGAGGGCTGGGATACTGCCAGGTTGCCCAAGCCTAGACAGGGGAAGTCGAGAGGCAGAAGTTGGGTTTGAATCAGGGACTTTCCGGTCAGTGAATTCACGCTCTAACCACATGAGCCATCTCGCCCCGAACTTTCATCTTGGTCAAGTGTAATTTATTGATTATTGCGCAGCCACTTGTAGCAAACTGATGATAAAGTGCTGATAAAGCGAAAGATCTTAGGTTAAATTGCCATGGGGATTCGTGGGTTGCATACTGCCGATAACCCGCAAAATGATGATGCAGCCAAATGGTGTTTTAAAACTTTTCACTATGGTTTGATCTAACTTGCTGGAGGTAAGCTCAGCTGAGTAAGCCAAGGTACGTATTTGGACAGTTATACCTTGTCCATAAACCTGTAAGTACATTCCATGGTAAGTGATAAAAGAATGGCCCTAAGGGATGTTCTTAAGGTGGGCGTGTTAGGAGCACCTCAAGTTATTAACTCTGATAACGATATGAACTATTTTTCTTTGCTATTCGGAAACTCCTTTCTCTCACAAGGTGCCAAATCAATGAAGACTTCAATTATCAATTTTTGGTTGTCATGCCTTCGCCCAAATGACTTTTCCTATTGTTAAAGAGTTCGAACATTTTCTCACCACTTGAGGATCTAAAACCATTCACAACTGTGTGGCGTCATACAGTCACGGTGAGCTAGTGGTTCAACATCCCACACGAACAGATCATGAGCATCAATGCAGTGCTTATTTCGTCATTGCCTCTTTCCTTTGTGCTTCGGAATCCAATCACAAACCGTTCGCAAATTTTTCACGTCTGTTGATTTTTACTATTTTGGGGAAACATGCTCGTTCATAAGAAGACTTTTGAAGACTTTTGGACAATTGAAGCTATCCACTTTGAGAAAGCACGCTTTGTAAAACACTCTTACTAGTAGTACTGATAAAGTTTCTGAAGACAAAATACGGCCTCTAAATGTATTTGTTCAAGGTTCTGACGGTCATCTTAGGGGTTAAGTCTGTACTGATAGTTGTACTAGGAAACTGATGAGTGAATTTCAGATGATATTCTCTCAACTCCTGGAGCAGGTGTAACACTCCATTGCTTACTCCGACTGTCCGGGCCCTGCATATGAGAAAGGATGAAAGGATGATATTTCACAACCCACAGTGTGCTTAAACCTCCTAAGAACTCACCACGCTCTGTGGTACATTTGAGGTATTTAAAACGTACTGCCTGTGGCAAACTGTTCCCCTGGTGAAAAGTAACAAACACCAAAACAATAAATCCCCTGTGTTATCCGGTATTTCTTTAGTGTCATTTCGGCAGAGTGAGGATTCAGATATCTATTTCCAAGCATCTCAGCCGTTTGCCGCCCAATCCCTGGTCTTTATCATCCAATCAATTTAAATGCGTCCAACAGTAAGACAGAAGTAACTAGACCGTAATATTATTCCCGGCGTATTACGCTCCACCTCAATAGATCTCCCGCCGAAAAAACTGCATTTTGCGCTCAATTCAAAAAGATAGTACAAACTCCCAGTGAGAGCACCATACCCCTTTTTCTGTATACTACCTTGTCAGGTGATTGCGCGGAGACAATTAATCCGCAAGCTGGGTTTGATAGATGAAGGCCGTCTGATAAACGCCAATCCGGTTCACAATCAAAAGTTTTGGAAAATGTAAAAAGCACCTATAAACTATACCGATTGCAGTAACCAATTTTTTCTGTTCACATATTTTATCCCGCAACCAAAAGGATTGATCGAGCTTCCGAAACACCAGTACTGACTTAGAAGCGTTTGGTGTCAGATGGTGTTAGCACACCGTGGACTCAACTGACCGCTAATATAGCCGTAACTCCCATGTCCATGGAACAGTTTACACAAGCCCATCAGTTCCTCTGCAGTAGGCAAATGCATAGTTGAACTGTTTGTTGCAAAACGTCGTTCTTGATGAGAGTCGCAACCAAACAGGACAATCTTGCCACTGAGTATCTTCCTGTTTGGTATGGTAACGCCAATGTCAGGTTGCACATCCTAACATCCATCTTAACATTTACTGGAAGGTTTAGGAAGTCGGAAACTTGCAATTCGACTTAAATGGTATTAGCAAAGTGTTTGCCTCAAAGAGTGTCAATGGTGCACGCGTTTTCCTAGCTTGTTTACCCAGCAGATCAAAATGTGCGAACATAAACAAAACACACTACTCATTAGGTTGCCGAACAATCTTCGATTGGCCACGACCGGTTTCTCATTTCTTGGAGCTCGTCAGATAAGCCCAGTCTCCAAGTTTTTTCAGTCATACACTCTACATGAAGCCGAACTGGATTCTTCTGTCAATACAAATTTGTGTGCCAATGAGGGTATTTGTCGAAACTTGTGAAAGCATGAGCTAGGGTGCCATACTATTGTTTTCTGCCTAAAAATTAAGCGAATGGGCTGCCGTGTGTTTCCACCTTGGATAAAGTAACAAATCTTTCCTGATAGAGAAAAAACGTTGTGTTTTATGTACCGTAATCGTTCCTGCAACTACACCTGGCAACATTTTGATAACAGTTGGACGATTATCAGTACTTCTTGAGCTTACCATGGACTGTAAGCGGTTTGTCACTTTCCCCTACACAAATCCATATATGGCCTACCTATAATGGCCTAACCAAAAATGTTTTTGGTGGATTCACCTATCGCTGCTTATTGTTTTAAGCTCCAAGATCTGATAACGAAGTGGTAGCAAGTAAAAGGGAAAAAAAGTCTAAGCAGGCAAAGTATACGTGTATACGGAGTTTTCAAGGGTGATTAAAATAAGCGTATACGAGTGCAACACCCTCTGGTATACTTCGTTGTGTTGATTACACTACTTTTTGTTAAGTTCTGTAGGCTGATATATCACAGTCGTCATAAGGTCGGTGAATAGTCGTCTCGCTAAATGTTCACGTAAGTGATGATGAAGTAGTGTAGAGATGAATAAAAAACAATTAAATGAAAGGGCTATCAAGTACTCTCCATTACTTACTCTTGTTTTCGATGCACTCTCCCTTGAGTCCTCTCGGACCAATCGGTCCCGGTGGGCCCTGGGGTCCACGAATTCCCTGTGGTCCAGCCGGACCTTGAGGACCTTGAGCACTTCGTATTGGGAGTCGTATGCGACTTTCTGTAAGGTGTAGCTCTGAGAGGTCAACGTCCCTTTCTTGTTCGATTTGTTTGGTGCATTCGAGCTGAAGCTGACAGTTACTCATTACTGGGCTTCGTGGAACTGTGAGGCCATCATACTGGGGAATAGCCTCCGAGGCAGTCTGATGAGGTGCCGAAGAGAACAGAGTGGGATAGGATTGGTATGGCTGGGAAGATTTGTTTACAACAGATGACACAGTTGCAAGTTTCGTCGTATTCAACCAGAGTGCCAGGAGAAGAAATAATGGTCTCCAGTCCATTCTCGGTGTGCTGCTTGCTAACTGACCGAATTAAAGCTTTGAAAGAGCCGAATATTTGCACTGAAAGCAATTGTTTGAAAACAAAGCAACATACCTGGACTTATTTTCTCAAGATATCCGTAGGGGGCACGTGTGTTGTGCGTTGCTCAGCTGGAACGCTCAGCCGAAAATTTAGCCAATATGTGATTGGTCAGCTGAGCTCCGAAAAGTAGCTTACTCTCCATTGGCTGGGGACATGGTGAAGCTGACACTACACCACTTGCAACGTACTTGTCAAAATGGGAAAAGTAGGATTTAAAAAAATAATAAAGTAAGTAATGAGTACCTTCGACAACGCAGTCACCACTTAACAAGCTAGTGTTGATCACTTTTTTCCAGAATTCAATGGCTAAGTTTGTCGGCCAACAACGAGGCTAAAATTAGTTTCGACTGCTCCGTATATTTGCGAGATAATTTGGCTTTTCGAAAGTGCATTTGCGACCAAAATCAATTGGGGTTCTTTCGCTGTTCAGTACGGTACTCAGAATGATCGTAGGGTTATCGAAAATGGGGTACAAAATAAAGTCGTGGGAATGCCTTATTGGAGCAAATTCACGGGAATTGCGCACAATCGCTTCGACATTGGACGCATCATCTCCTGGGGAATAGTCCTAGAAGCTGGTACAAAAAAGCGAATAATATGGCGAAAGTTGCCGTAATAACCACAATTTGATCACCGCTTTCTATATGCAGCTTGACGCCAAAGAACATATTAACGAGCTACGATCAATGGAGCCATAAGTTTTGCATCGCCATAAACTTGTTCACTGGTGGCTTCACGGGCCTCTAGTAATTTTGCGCTGGATTGTACAGACAAAAGAAAATCTATAACTCATGCTCTCCGAAAGCGCCATGTTCTGTGGAGAATAAAAATGAATTGAAAAAGATTCCTGATCCTTGCGTACGTTTACGGGATGACATCCCATATTGGGTACCTGAGACCAACATCAAAGTTTGCTTGGGAAACCACAGAAAAATTATAGAAGTATATCTGTTTTGCTCGTCTTCATATTTGGATCCACCAAGTCCCCATGCAATTCAAGGATTTTGAACCAACCATTACAGGTTTTCCATTAATTTTAAGACAAAGTGTTGGGCCTACTATTTGTTGATAAATCTAATCACAGTTTGGAATCTTCCTTTTCTTATTATCCTAGTGGCCCACAAGTAGACTACTTCAGTCTCGGTACGAAGTGATTTATTTATTAGCATTTATATGCGTGACTATGGATTTATATTATAGCGTGACTGGTTGAATGTTATTTTGGATGGTACAGACGACTGGTATCCTAGTCGGACTTGCCGGCCAACGACGATTGAGCTACTTGGCCTCTGCAGGCCGTTGAACAGCCACTGACGCTCTACGTGCAGTTGAACATAATGCTGCCTCAAAGCGCTTGACGATCATGTAGCCCCGAGGCAACAAGACATGTTGGCGGACATGCAGAGCTCTGGTGCAAGCTATCACCCAACCTTAGTACGATGGCACAACAACGTAGACGGATTATAGTTCCTGATTATTAAGGTAACAGATTCGTTCACTAGTTTCTTTAAGTTTCAGCTTATTAAAAAACCTTTCCCACTAGAGAGGCACGCGAGAGTTTATAGCAGTTGTACACTGGCGCAACATCAAGGTGATGAACATCAAGGTTATGAATAGTCTGAGGGTATTCGCCCAACCCTGAGATTAATGACGCTATCATCCAAAGGATGACAACTGCGGACGGATAACTAATAGAAAAGAATGTATGAAACACCTCGATTCCCGCTTTTTACTTTTAGAAGACAAACCGGCGATTGCACTTGAAACCTCTACCCTAGTGAGGCATTTGGGTGGGCACTTTAAGACTTTTTAGCTATTTGTGACAATGTTGTTTTAAGGTGTGAATTTCATCCATTTGCTTCAAATGTTTTAACCGGCCGAACTGGTTTCGCATCAGAATGCATTTAGCTCTAACGAAGTTTGTTCTCCGCAGGAGTTTGGTGCTCAGAATTCTGACTGCCTTTATACCCCCTTTTCCCCGGGGTCAAACTCTTCCCTTTCTTGAAGTCCCCTATTTTCTGCACCCACGCCATGTATTCAGTAATCACCCACAACCTCTCACGAACTTTTGATCCTGAACATGTCGAACCTATTCTGATAAACTTTCCACGCGCGCTTTTTGGCGTATTTCTTTATAACTTGCTGTGTGCGCACGTTTGTCGGCAATTCAACGCGAGTTGCCGTTTTTGCCGAGCTTTATTTGGACACGCACCAATTCGTTCAACAGTTAGACGGGAATCCCCATAATTTAATGTTTGTGTCCCTTTCATATACACATTTTGTACGTGTAGTACCGAATTTTGTTGGTAAACCTCTTGGCTTGTGATTTCGCCCGTCACTCATTTGGGCTTCCCGGAATACGTCACGTATAATAAGGTCTTCTTGATTATGCAGTTGAGGTCAGTCAACATCACAAGAGTGTCGTTTGTATGGATTTCCAGTTTCCTCCTGAACGGCAGTGCAAACAGTACAGCAGACCGAAGTATTAGTTTGAAGTTATACCCACCCAGGACTGTTATGACAGGAATTTTTGACGATGCTTTTGGGATGGACCGAAATATACTTTTCATCCAGACTAGCCGATCCATTTATAAAACACGGTCAAAGCCACACGCCATGGTTACAGAGGGACTGTGCCATTTCTGTATGCAACGTTAACTGAGGCATCTAGCCCACGCTGTATGGATGTAGATTCCAGGAAACTTTAGTGGCTCACTGATGGGCTCAAATACTAACTTTGTGCACAAATATACATTAATCCATTTTATTTGAATGCGCCAGAAGTGTAAATTAATTTTGTTTAAATGAAAGACTGTAGTCAACTTTGGGTACACATTCCTAATTTGGAGACAAGGACTTTTGTTCATCATATAAAACACTCAAAACTGCACGAGAAACTGTTGCAAAAGACCTCACTATTTCTGCTTCTGAACAAGCCCCCCATTACAATTAACTTCACGTTTGGTAGGATGAAGCAGCAATATTCCCATCTTGATCGGTCAATATAGAAGGATTGTAAGAAATGAAACACCTAAGGATATTTATCGTCTTCTGAAAACTAAACCCTTTAGATGAAAACAATTGCTTCCTCCATACAGGACATTGGCAAGCAACTACTCCTCGGGAAGACTCAGACTAATGGTTTGCTTTATGAAGTGTGAAATCACGAAATTAGGAAAACTGTGGCTCAGTAGAAGAGCAGAATACTCGCGGTGCTTGATGATAAAAACAAATACTCTAATAAGCAGACTAAAAACGATTACTTTGGCTTTAATAGAAACAGTGCACTCTCCTGCATACTTGCCGGCGAGAGCGCGATGGAATTTTCGTGAAGAAATCAGATGCGTAAATCCAAAGCCATCAACGACCAGCGAACGAGATACTTATTACAGTCGCGATGAAACTGCTGTGCAGCGAATCGGTCGTGGTATCCACCAAAAGCTCCGTACGTTATTGAAAAGAACGATTACAGTAGGTCCATCTGGAAGCTCTTACCTGAGGGTGTGCAAGATACGGACAGAACTAATAGGACTTTTGAACAAGGAAGGGGTTACTGCCTTGGTTCCAAGACCGAGTGAATTTATTAGATTCTCCTAAAGTAGATTTCACCAAGACAAGGCACTGAACACTATGGGAATAAAACACATACGATTTTGAATGTCTCAATGTTCTTCAAAAGTAAGCACCTGGTTTTCCCCACTTAAAAATCAACAAAGATGATTTTTTTTATTTCCGAGCTCCGTCATATTAATTGGATCCCGAATCAGCTTACTGAACGATGATGAGTATTAATATAATAATTCACAAAACCTTCTGCAACCTTGTAAGTAGTATCCTTTATGAAAATATACTGCGATACCTCGAATATCGTGCCAACTAAAACATGAGGCGGACTGTGAGCAACCCTTTCAGTTCTAGAATATCATAAACGAGAGATTCAGCTGAGTCTCTCGTAAAAACCAAATTGATTTGCAAATGAGTGTATTTCTCGAATTTACAAAACCCTTTCAAAAAGAGGTACTCCTCATTAACGGATACTTTGTTTCTCCGGACGACTACTGTTCATCGTTTTTTTATCGTTCCTTCCGCGCCCTGATTGTGATGTCATCATTGTCATGCCCAGGAATCCACAGTGGGAATGAAACTGCTCTTCTTTTTTTCAAGTGAGCACATATCCCTCAAAATGCATTTGTTCGAATTAAGCTTACCAGACAACCTGAATCAGACTAATTGAGACAGATAAATTAGTCTGACCATGAAAGGCTCCGAAATACCGACAACTCATGCTTGCAAAATCAACCAGTTGAACCAAGCGTTCAGAATGAAACTTTGAGTAAAATGGATATACAGCCATTCACAAGGTCACGCCAAGATGGATTTTGACAGCTATATTACACGCACTAGTTATTCTGCAGCTGAGTGTAATTCTCTAGAGAACTGGCGCATCCCACACAATTAAAATTCAATGGACCGGTTAATTTAAATCTAAAAGCCGCAAGCAATTATGTTCTAAGACAAATCAAACCGTTTCTGCGTACAACGATTAGGTTCCAGTTGTCTCTCTCAATACGTTACTGTCTAAACTCACATCTTCCCAGTGGTCTTGAAGCTGTTGAAATCGGAGATGAGCTCCATATGTTAGTATGAGTATGAGTACGATCCTTTCAAATAAGTACTATAAGGCAGATAACACAGGGGGATTATTTGATACGCGGGGAAAACAAAGAGAAGTGACATGAATGAGGGTACGTGTTCCTACTATTGTCCTAGCACAGTTGAAGTTGAAACAGGCACTTTTCAGGTCATAAGGCCAAATATATACCTAAAAATACGCAACCGAATTGTTACGGAGAGCTACTTTTTTTACTCACAACATACTTGCTTCGGAAGCCATTTGAATACCAGTGAATAGGCAAAATGTTTCACCTGAGTATATGTC